GAAGTTCTTTTGATAATCTGCTACTAATTCTTCTTATGCTTCTGGTAAATCAAAAGGCAATCTCACGCGAACCGCTTCTAATCTTTGAGGAGCGAAAGCCACTCGACTCTAAAGGAGAGGGAATACAAGGCACAAACAGAGGAGCTGATTGGATCATTAAGCAGATCAAGTTCTAAGTGAGGACTCTTGTTGGGCAAGCAGAGGCTGCTGAGGTTTGGCAGGAGTAGCTTGTATGTTTCTTCTTTGTTAGAGGTTGTTAATATTTTGATTACATAGCTTCTTGCCTTCTTGTATTGTCCCTGTTATGGCTAGTTAGTAAGCGGGTGCGGATAGCATAACAACACCCCTGATGTTGTTATTATAACAACAGAATTCATTAGGGTAAATAAGTAAATTAACAAAAAATATCAAATTAAAATTAAATAAATAATTCCCAAACCCTAATCCGCTCCGTCTATCTCGTATGCTATTTCTTCCGTTCTTCCCCATCTTCGCTGTTCCTTCTTTCTTCCACCGCCGGCGTCGCAAATCCTCTCCGTCGGAGCTCTCTCTTCTTCACAACAACCGCGGCGACGACATCGGCGTCGCACCACAAATCCGAGTTCCTCGCTGCTCGCTTCATCCTCCGTCGAAGCTCTCTGTCAGATCTCGCATGTCCTCATCTGCTTCACTTTTTTGTTGGTGGTTTTTCTTCATCGACGAGCGTCGCCGCGACTTCATCGCTAACGTCTCTAGCCTGGACGACAACGGCTCCAATGGCCGCGCATCTCAGCCCTGTATCTTCTCTCCGCTTCCAATCGATCTCATTATTAGATCCCTCCACCTCTTCTCTGTCGTTTCCGCTTGGCCCCGAGGTGGAATCCAAGCCCGTCGATCCGGAAGTAGCAGAGTAGTGTCTGTGAATATATACATATATGCAAAGCAGTCAAAATCGGGATTTTATGTAAAATCGAAAATGAGGGTAAAATCGGAATCGTAAAATCGTAGGATTTTAAGGTCCATATAAAAATCAAGACAGAATAATATTAGTAAGGAAAATCATGAATAACACAAAAACACATAACACTTACAATGATAATTTTTCAAGGTTAATGTTCCAATTTATCAAGATTAATGTTAAGAGGTGGTGAATCGATGAGATTAATACGTTGATGTGAATTGATTATAGTCCATGGTGGTTAGTGTGAGAGAACTAGATGATGTTGGTGGAGGAGAAGAAAAAGAGGCGTAATTTTGCAAATTCTGGGGAAAATAAGTAAAATTGACTCAAAGATTTGAATCGTAAAATCGTGAGATTTTAAAGATTTAAATCGTGAATAGTGTAGGATTTTAAGGTCCATAGATTTTATAGTGAAATCAGAATCGGAATAGGTAAGTAAGATCGTAAAAGCGTAGGATTTTAGGATTTAAATCGGGATTTTAACTACTCTGCATATATGTACCTTGAGATGGAAGGCGATTTTGGTCATGTTGTCGACGTATTCGGGAAGAGGGACGTGAGGGCCGAGCCCTGTTTGGTGAGGGTGAAATTGTACAAGGCAGAGAAGGGAAGAGAAATTGGATCTGGGGGCAGAAAATTGATTGAAAACATTAGTATGTTGAATTGTTGAAGGGTGTATAGGTAAGGTTATGGTTTCTCTATAAGAACGGGGTTCGATCTTTTATTTCGAGGAGGAGGGAAGAGGGGCCAGTTCTGTTCAATCTTTCGTTCCAATTCCATCCCAAAAAAGCACCCTTACCATTTTCCAGCTCCAGCCAATACACACACAAACCAACCCTCTCTTTTCAGCCAACACAGAAAAGAACGAAGCCAAGAAATTCATTCCCAACCAACATTTGTTCATCTTTTCATCTATAAAGAAAACTAACCAAAAATCCAAACACAATAAAACAAACCACAAAAAGCATACAAAAAACCTCTCAATGCATACCACAAATCCTTTAAAACAAACCAGAAACCTCACAAAGCAAACCATAGAATTTTCAAAAGCACACCAGAAACTTTTAAATGCAAACCAGAAACACAATAAAGCATACCAGAAACACCCTAATGCATACCACAAATCCACTAAAACATAATAGAAACCCCACAAAGCAAACCACAAATCCATTAAAACAAACCATAAACCCCACAAATCAAACCATAAAATTTTCGAAAGCACACCATAAACTTCTCAATGCAAACCAGAAACACAATAAAGCAAACCAGAAACCTCCTAATCCATACCACAAATCTCCTAAAATAAACCACAAACCTCACAAAGCAAACCACAACATTTGCGACAGCACACCAGAAACGTCCTAATGCAAACAACAAACATAGTAAATCAAACCACAAAAAAGCAAACCGGAAACGTCCTAATGCAGACCACAAAAATATTAAAACAAACCGAAAACCCCTCAAAGCAAACCACAAAATTTTTGAAAGCAAACCAGAAACTTCTCAATGCAAACTAGAAACACTATAAAGCAAACCACAAAAGGCATACAAAAATATGAGAAACCAAACCATAAATCTCACAATGCATACCATAACATCCGGTGGTCGTTGACCAAACTCCGATGACCGTCAGTGACCGAATTTCGGCACCGATAGGCATATTCTGGCCTCAATGACTAGATTCCGACGCCGGTAAGCATATTCTGGCAACAAAAAGCATAATCCGATGATAGGTGGCCGAATTCCGGCGGCCAAAATTTTGGGTCGAAAATAAAAATATATTTTTAATTTTTAATTATTATTTAAACATATTTTTCATAATGACAATTATCTCCCTGCTTTGATTTTATCAAGTCATCTAATAAAAAGTCATTACACCCTAGCTTCCTATTGGTTGGAGACTAGTGTTGTTACAAGGGCTAATACCACTACAACACCCGAACTATCCCGAAAATGCCACTTGTGTCCTATTGTTTCCAATATTCCATCTGTGTCCTGAACTATAATACTTTGTGTCATTTGTATCCTGTCAATTTCGTTGACCGTTAAAGATAACGGTTGACCAAACAGTGGTCAACGCGAAGTTGACTTTTGCTGACGTGGCAAAAAATGTGGCAGCCACATAGATGCCACGTCATTGACACCTCATATTTTATATTCAAAATTAAATAAAAAAAAATAATAATAAACTCAAAAAATGTAAACTCAACATTAATGAAAATTTTGACTTTGCACTTTCCCTTTCTTCTTCTTCCTCTGTCAAAAAAGGATCATCCCTTTCTTCATCGGGCATGAACAACAGCGGCCAGCAAAGAAAGTCTCACAAAAAAAAAACCAGATCTAGCGAGAGTGGTAGGAGGATCGAGTCTCTTGGTCAAAAGACTCCATCATCAGATCTTGAAATTAAAAAAAATGGGGAAGAACAGCAAACCTAGATTCCGGCAACTGTCACCTTCCCACCTACCTCCGTTGAGCAGTGTTGAAGGCCAAGAAGAAGCAACCAAGGCCAGATTCTGGGCGAATTCAGCTGTAAAGAGAGAATAAAGGTAAGGAAAAAGATGAAAGATATGACGAGGGCAAATGGTTTCATTAAGGAGGCGGAGGGTATCCCTCTGTACATAGCCTACGGTGGCTGGGATTTGGATGAAATCCACCGTGTTTCTGGGTACGGGAAGCAGAACAGAGGGTTAGGAGGTGGTGGCGACCAAGATCGACGGTGGCTGGGATTTCAAATCGATTGTCCAATTTAGTTCAAATCGGTCTAGATAAGAAGAAACCGACGGGGATTAATTCAAGCAAAATAGCAAAGAAAAGCTTGGATCGGAAACCTCCGACTTACCGCAGCCGCCTTGGTCCTTGACTTCGGCAACGGCGCCTTTTGCCCTCCAATCGATTGAATCAGGGAGTGACTCGCCAACGCGCGGCGCGTACCGATCGGAAGGCCTGTACTCGCGCAGCGGCTTCCCCTGACCTAGACGGACTCCGAGGTACTTGGAGCGGTACTCGTCGTTGGTGAGATCGGCCAACTTGTTGAGTCCGACGGTGTAGGTGTGGTTCATGGAGTTGTGGCTGTCGATGAAACGGAGGTTGTCCTTGAAGATCTGGAACCGCTTCTCCTTCTCTCCTCCGAGGGCGTTGCTGTAGGCCTTAGCGTGCTTGTCCTTGTTTTTATTATTATTTTATTTTAGATGGAAAAATAAATAAAATTTGATAATGAAAATTCCACGTCAGATGCCATGTCAATGCTGACTAGATTTTCTGTTAAATACTAACGGTCAACGCCGGTCAACACTAACGGAATAATATTTCAGGACACAGATGGAATATTGGAAACAATAGGACACAAGTGGCATTTTCGGGATAGTTCGGGTGTTATAGTGGTATTAGCCCTTGTTACAATAACAACAAAATATGTGTTGTTATAGTAACCGGTCCCTTAGTAAGCTTGTTACCAGTGACTGTTTATTTCAGATGAAATATACTACAATCATTCATAAAAAAAAAACAATTTCCTACCGTTAAATTTTCCTACCAATTTGTGTTCGATATTCGATATTTCTGATTCGACGAACCGATATGATACGATTTCTAAAACATTGGTATCGATCACAATATATAATTCTTAACCGGATTTTCTATAGTAAAATATAGATGTATAACACCGCTAAAATAAACTAATAGAAACTTCTTCGGTAATGTCTATTTTTTATCCAAACCTTTTTCAGATTCTTTTATATTATCCAAACCTATGGAAATCCTAAGAATTAGCCAAATGGTAACTTACAGTTAGCAATTTTGTTAGTAATATTGACTTGGCTACATGATAGTGACTTGGAAGAGACTCATGAAGGTCAACATTCCAAAATTTTAATATTTTAACTAAGAAAAGAGTTACAAAATTATTAATGATAACATAAAAATGGCTAATATTTTGATGCATTCTGAAAGATTTGGATAATTAATAAAATTTTAATAAGTTTCAAAAATATAAAAAAATCTGAAAAAAATTTGGATAAAAAATAGACATTACCCAAACTTATTTTATGATTGAACAAATCTTGGGCCACATGGCCGAAGAACACCGTTTGGTAGCTCCATCGTCAAACCTCCAAATTCGAAATGGGCCAGTGAGGACGTAAAGCTACTTGGGCTGCACGGCGCTCGCTCGATCGTCAATTCTGCTGGCCGCCGTCTCCACGCCGCCCTGCTGTTTAGCTCTGACTGCCTTTGTTGTTTTCAATCACCGTACCAAAAGTACCAGGAGCACCCGCGTTTTCTTGGTACAACCTTCTGCTAGAGTTAAGGCATTGGCTCTCAAGTTTCCCGGTCTAGAGTTTGGGTTTGTAGCCAATTACAGAGCAGAGCAAAGCAGATATACTCGATCTCATGGGTTATCTGTATTTCAGGTACTCATAAGTTCTCTGGAGCGGAGCTTAGTTGTCATTCTTCAGCAGCTGAAGGGGACCATATTCAGCTGGGCAAATTGTCGAACATGTTCCGGGCAGAATAAGAAAGGGCAGCCTAGGATTGAAGAAACCACAATCGTTAACCGTCTTTGTCCGTCGGTGAGTTGTTTCCACGATTCAATGGTATTAACATTGTGGAAATGCAATTGTGTTCGTTTGGTACCATGGGTTTGCCTGAATTCTATGAGCTCTGAATAGAGAATGGTTCCGCCCGATGTGATTTTGTCCATTGTCAATGCTGAAATATTACTCTTTGGATGAGAGAGGGACCTCATGCTGGTTTAGCTTTTGTTGCAGTAAATCTAGTGATATAGCAATGAGGTGAACACAAAAATGGGAATGGGCGCAAGTAGATAACAACAAATGGCTGGGATTCCACGGAAGGCAGTGATTCTGATGGTTGGTGCCTTTGCTAAGGCAGTGACAACTCTTTTGAACAATGCCTCAGTCCGTAATGCGGACACACTGCTTCGTCTAGTTCGCTCTCGGCCACCTGGTGTACCACTCATCACTGTTAGCAACCATATGTCAACGTAACAAAATCTTTGACCTGTGTTCTGCTCTGGTACTGTATTTGACATCACTGTGCATTATGCTTGTGAATTGACCTTGTTTTTCTTATTTGTAATTCAGGTTAGATGATCCTTTGCTGTGGGGATTCAAGGGATTTCCAATCACAAATTCAAAATTGGCTCGATGGGTACTAGCAGCTGAAGACATCTGTTTCAGGAATTCGTTGTATTCCTACTTCTTTCGCCAAGGTGCTGCTTTGCTGATCTGCCACTCGGTTATATGAACTGAAATGTTTAATGACTTGTTTTACATTCATGGCTTGAGTACTTCTAATATCTACGTACTGCAGGGAAATGTATTCCCATTACTAGGGGTGCAGGAATTTACCAAGACCACATGAATGAAGCTCTTCAGCGCTTGAGCAATGGTGAATGGGTAATTTATGTGTTTCACCCTTCATTTTTCCTCTTCATGTCTGAGCATAATCTTCTAGCTGCGTTTATTTCCAAGTCACCATCTTATAAAACAACAACAAATAATAAACTGATGATGGCACAGTCAGTTTCGCTTAGAGGCTTTATAGTTGTATGTTTCTCTGTGTCCGGTTTTGTGTAAAGATCAAGTGAGATTTATGAAACATCTTCATTTCATTATAAGTTTCAGCGTATGTTCCCTTTGCATGGGTTGTTGTCTTAAATTATGTGTATTCCGCTGCAAGATTATGGTTGAAATCCTAATAAAAGGTTTGCTGGCTAAGTGGTGGGTATGTAGTGGCAGTGTTGATATGTATTCTATAACAACTATAATCACCTTGATAGCACTCATGCTGCTAGGTTTTGAAGCTTTCAATTATGCTGGCAACGCTATTCTCAAGCATTTTGCTCCGATTCCTGCAACACAATGATTCCAATAGCAGAGATTAATATGTTTCTTTGATTTGTAAATGACAAATAAGCATGTCGTGAACAGCTGCACACATTTCCGGAGGGGAAGGTCAATCAAGAAATTGCACCTATAAGGCGGTTGAAATGGGGAACTGCCAGTCTCATTGTCCGCGCCCCTGTTACACCAATAGTACTACCAATTGTTCATCGTGGATTCCAAGAGGTACCTATTGAAATATCAGTAGGAATGCTTATTTCTGCTGTCTAAATGTTAATTGTCAAAGTGCAAGAATGCTGTAGCAGCTCTCATCTGTTTCTGTATGAATACCTTGTTTATGCTTGTGGGAGACACAATCTAGTACAATCATTCTCAGATTGCAGCCTTGCCATCCAGGGTCAAACCAAAATTTGGAATCCTGAAGTTTATTGGAATCCCACTCATCCTTTCTTTGTGCGTTCTGTGTTCCATGTCTCATGTCTGCTGGTATCTCAACAGGTTATGCCTGAGAACTACAGATCTGGAAGGAGGCCTCGTTTCCCCTTGCGCAATAAGAACATCGACATAATCGTGGGTGAGCCGATTGAGTTCGACATTGCAAAGCTGAGCAGAACGGCCACTTCTATGTCTCACAGCTTGTCCTTCCCTGCATTTGGATGGCCCAAACTAACCCGTTATGAGCTGGACGAAGCTGCTCAAAAATGTCTATACATGACAATTTCAGATCAAATCCGAACTGCAATGCAGGTATTACTTAGCCAGACCAGGTGACCAGTTCGTCAGTCAATGATTCGTTAGCCCGAGTTTCTTCAAACCTTCAGGACATTTGAATTGACCAATTGCGGCCAGAGCATTTGCAGAGTGCAACAAGGTCGATGGAGTGCCATTCGTTCATATAGTTTATTTCTTACCCCTATTGTTGTTACCTCTATGATTTTTGGGTCTCGGGATAATAGATGCCAAAGCCTATTTTTTCAGCTAGGGACTATCAACTTGAGAAACCCCGGATCAAACTGTAAGAGAGCACCCTCATCTCCATAACATCTACTATTCATTATGAGATTTTTTTGGTAATTTTAACAAAGTTTAAGGTCAATCTTTCAAGAGTGACATATGGCAACCTTTTAAAAAGACATGACAACATTTTTTTTTATTTTTACTTTCAACTTATGTTCTTCATATTTCTTCTCTCCCTATTTCTTATATTTTTGTTTATTGTTCTTAAATCATTTTGTTGTTCGTATTTGATTTTGTATGCTTACTCATTTCTCTCGATCGAGACATGCTTTCGTATTTGATTTTGCATTTTTAATTATCTCTCTGCTCGAGGTCGTATATGATGTTAACGATAAAAATCTATCATCCAATCGAGAAGAACGAAAGTAGTCTTGGAACCAACGAAACTAAATACTATGTTCTTCCGTCTTTTTTCCTTTGATTTTGTTGATTTATTATATTCTTTTTCCCATCTTATTTGACTATCCAAAGTGTTTATCTTTTTTATTGTTGGGCTAAAATAAACACATAATCTATTTGTAAATTTTCTAATTAATAGTAGTCAATCTCCAAATCAAACAAATACTTCTTCATCAGTAGCCTCATTGTTCAGAGTTCAAATTGCTACGGAGTTTTCTCCCACCATCTTTGTGATTTTTTCTCGCTGCTTTTGCAATTGTCTTATGAATTATATTTTGTTAAATATTTCATACAACACAGTTACGGTGTTACTTTCAACTCACTATGAAGCGCAAGTGAGTGGGCCAATATTTATTGATAGAACAAGAGAACCACGCGAATTCAGATCAGGCGTATTTCAAACCCGTATGTTTCAGTGATCCATTTTCCATTTTTGAATCCTTATCAATATTCGATAGAACAAAAGAACCACATTAATTAATTGATTTGAACTAGAAGTTCTTATTTGGTTTGTTCCCCAATCGGTAACTATTCATTGGCCAACGAGTCCATTTTGTATTGTTTGCTTCACCTTATTGCAAAATGTGTTTTCTCGATTCTTATTTAGCTGCTTAGATGTTTCTATTCATGAAATGAGAGCTAGACCTGTATTTTTTTTGGGTTTGTGTCCTTTACAAGTTAGTTTATTCTCTCTTACAATCACATGTAACCTTTTCCATTACTCGCTTTACGCAAAGCGCAGCGAGCGGGCATATCTAGTATTTATTACTAGGGGTTTTTTTCTTCAAAATCCTCTAATTACTATAATAATTCCCAAAATATATGACTTACACTAAATCTTTTTCATAATACTAAAGTTAGTGTAATACTTTAGACAAATTCCACATAGACAAAGTACGAGAGAAATTCATGGTTTCAAACTTGATCGACAAGATGCATTCTGGGGTGTAATGGAGAAGTTTTTTGTAATAATTCTCAAATTGAATATGCTTAGTGTGAACTGTGAAGCAGTGCAAAGATATGTGACCTCTCGAGAACAACATGATGCATCTCAAAAGCAAAATTGTGCGGTGTAAACCCAAAGCGGACAATACCATGATCAGAAAAGGGTTGGGATGTTACAGTTTGGCCGGGATTGCTTCTCATATAAAGAATTCAGTATGCATATTGCTGAAAGTAGAAAGACCCACATTAATCAAAGGTGCATCAAGCGAACAACTCTAATCGTTGGCGTAGAATGAGATTTTAGAATCCAAAGACGCGCTTGTGTAAAGAAATTTGCAATGATCGCAACTTGGCACCACGATGTATCATAAATCATGCACAACTAGAGCGTAGTGGTCGTTAATTTCACTATTATATTATGAGTTGTTTGAGACTATTTCATTTCTCATTTTCCCTTGTGGTGTATTATGTTACTATTATGGACTTCTATGGTTATTTTTCCCTTATGATGTATTATGATACTATTATGAACTTCTATGGTTATTTATCATTTCGTGGTGTATTATGGACTATTTATCAGTTTGTGAAGTATTATGGTACTAATATTGTCATGTACGATGTTATTGACTAAAATGAAAACTTGAACTCTAAAAACAAAAAAACAACTACTACATTTGATAAAAGTTCAACAACTACTTCAAACAACAACAAATAAAAGTTCCACCACACTACTAGCCACGTCTATTACCACTACTTCTTCTTCTATTACCTCTCGCACGTAGTTGGCCACCACTATCTCTTCGCTGGCTTCCACTTCCACTTGCTTGGCCACCACAAGTTGATGAATTATGTTCAGATTGGTTGCAGTTTCGACACACTTGTTGAGCTACATCCTCTCTTGGCCAATCCATCTTATTGTGAATTCTTGTTGATCGTGGCCTTCCCGGCTTTCTAACCTTGTGCACATTAGGATGAAGTGTAGGGTCATTGTGTTTCTTCCAACCCTTAGGTTCACCAAGAGGTGTGAAACTTGTCCCATAACAAGCCAATACTCTTTCAAGCTTGTAGATGTTGTTTACAAACCTGTACGGGTTAGCCCCCATTCGGTTGCAAGCTGCAATGGCATGAGAGCGAAGAATTTTATTTCCTTGGAATTTCCCACAAGTGCAAAACCCCATCCAATTGTTGTTGTCGAAGTACCCTGCGAGTGTGTTTGGACCAGTCATGTTGACATTATTGGGAGGAGTCTGAACTACATAGATGCTCTAACGTCGATCAACCCCCGTCACGGAATGTCTAACTGCCTTTTATACCCACTTCTTCATAAGATCTTTGCATGTTTTGGTGTACTGTGAATGAGTATTTCTTATTTGTACTTCTATATCCAACCTCATCTTATCAAATTTCTCCAATAATCGCCAATAAGTATGTTGCACAAGAGAAGCTACAGGAAGTGAACGAATTTGAAAACACCATTTATGCTCTCTGTATTGTTGGATGTCATGATAGATCATCGATACCCACCATTATGGTTATCACATGCTAAGCTCCAATGGATTTTATTTTGGTCCACCCAGTTATCGCATGAAACATTTCTATCAGTGACCATCTTCTTAAATTGCTCAACTTGACGATCGAACTTCTCCAAGCGTTTTTCTTCGGCTAACACAATAAATAGACACACGAGTTAGATATATTCATGAACAAATTAAATGAAAATAAATAATACATAATAAGAAATAACCATAATAATGAAGGCTTACCGGCTCGAAATAGTTGATTATACATAATCTTGCTTTTAGTCTTCCCTTGCAAGTTGCTTCATAGAGTCCCGCATGTCTATCTGAGATGATGTGTTACACCCTGATCTTGCCAAAATTCAAAATGACAGTCATACCCTCGGGGAAATTTGTCAAATTTCATCGTAATATCGACGAGGACTAAAAATGCGATCCCTCGGCTCAAACTGTGTCGAGTTTCGACATAAAATGAGGAAGTTATGGACATTAACTGAGTTTCGGATTAAACTCACTCGATACCAACTAATCGGAAAATTCCCAAAATACCCCATGGGTTTATTTTAAATTTACCTCTCTGCCATCGAAATTCAGTGAAGCCTATCTCCATTGCAACCCTGCCTCTCCTCAGCCCGGGAAGTTCGATCCCCCCCTCCAATACGAGACCTGCTTAAACCTGATCGAGCCCCCTCTCCACTACGAGACCTGCTTGTTCAAGCAAGCAGAAGGGTCGGCGCCGAAGATGCTCTCTATTGCGTTTTCGGAAGGCGACCAATAACGGAAGGGAACGAGTAGAGAGCTGCCTGGTTAGGAAATTGGCACAGCGGGGGCGGCAATTTCTAGTGCCAGAGTTGCCTGCTTAGATGATTGGCGAGAGCTGCCTACTTCGACGATTGGCGAGAGTTGCCTGCTTCCTGATGAACCAGCTACATTGGAGCAGGCAATCACCCACTATGCTCGAGACCTGCCTGCTTCAGATAATGGCTGGGGCCATTATTGCTGATCTCCCAGCTGCCTGCTTAAGCAAGTGATAGACCAATAATTACACATGTTTTCACCCCATTTTGAAGCCGTTTGAGATGTGGATTCTAGTGTTTTAAGCCGATTTCACGCTAGGGTATGTGTTTATGTCATATTTCAGGTCCCGGCGTTGGAATCGAGGCGGAGGAACGATTTCTGGGTCGAAAGGAGTGAAGTTGGGACAAAGTAAGCCGCAGGAGGGAAATACCCGGTCAGGTGGCCAAATACCCGACCGGGTATTTACTACTTTTGGGCGCCCGAGAACCAGAGAGGGGCCCGGGCAGAATGCCAAAATCCCCGGTCGGGGATTACAGAGGCATACCGGGGATTTTCTCTTTGTTGATGCGCGTGTTTTGGATAATACCCGGTCGAACCCCAGAATACCCGACCGGGTATTTCGTGCGGGTATCGCGATCTGGCAGCTGATAAAAGGAAAAGAAGGCCAACTTTCAGAGGGGTTCGAGTTTTTGAGAGAGAAAGCGATACCTAGAGAGAGAAAGCGACGAACCAGAGTTCCCAAGCGCCATAGATCGATCTTCATCACCATTGGAGCCCGACTTGAGCTTGGAGAAGTGCAATTAAACGTCCAGGAGCAGAAATCCGTCTTCACAGTATGATTTCCGCGTCTGAATCTGCTTTTGCTTCTTTCTCTATGGAGTAGTTCCCCCATTCATCTGGGTATGGGGAACCCTAGAATTGTATGCTAGGTCTGATTGTATGAACCCAAGTACAGAGTTTGTGAACTGATTATATTCGATTGAGGTTTGAATGATTGAATGACTTGAATCCTGATCAAATTCCTGTTGTTTCTGCTTTGACCTAGAATGAGAATATCTGCCTAGGTTGATAGAGTATCCTTAATCGAAGGTGGCGAATTGGTGACTTTAGTCGAGGAGCCAATTCGCTATTCTGTACCGAATTCAATTCGGTAGTGGAGGTTTGGTTCGCTAGGGCCTCAATCTGTTTACTCCGGTGGAGGTTAGTCGCCCGCTAGAGACTCAGATTGAGAGGGTCTGAAGACCTTTAGTCGAGACTTCGGACTAATCAAGAACCTTCCGCAGTATAACTTTCATGAAAACTGAACTTGGTAAATTGCAACCCGACTTAACTGTTGTCTAGGGGGAACCATATCTGGGTGACCTCTCTTGACTTGACAACAACCGTTTACTTGCTTTGTGTTTTTGTTTGCTTGAGTTGCACTAAAAGTTCACTACTAAATAACGAGAATTCACCG